ACCCAACCTGGGCTAACCTAGCCTAACCCTTACTGCGACGGAGGAATTGTTTTCAATACTTTAACCACCCTGGGCAGCAAGCATGACAGCAGCGGCACAGAGGGTTATAGCATTGTAATTCAGCGTTCTATATCTGGTCTCACGACGGGCGGCCCGTCGACTGGGGCGCGCGTTATTTACGAGCCAGCAGGCAATCGTGACGCAAAAATTCCTCCCGGATGAATTACGCCGCTCGCTAGGTATGCGAATTTTTTTCCTAGGCGGTGCACCCACGTAGAGCCCAGCTATGAACCTGCCATTTGTCTTAACCGTCCTGTATCTCGTTCTTCATCTCCGGTCGCTTCCCTTCGAAGGTCTCGATACCTTTTTTCTGTCACTGTCCTCCATGCGTGGCTCTGTGTCTGTGTCGCTGTGTCTGTGTGACGTTTGTGTAGCGTCTGTCTGTGTCTGTGTGCTTTTTGTGTGTGGTGTCTGGCTTGCTGTGTGCTGTGTGTCTGTATAGTGTTTGTGGTGTATCTGTGTGGCGTCTGTGTAGTGTTTGTGTGATTATGTGCCTGTGTGGTGGCTGTATGTGTGACAGAATTTAATTTATGACAGACAGATTTTACATTTACAGACGCATGACAGAATTTAATTAATTAAAACTTGAAAACCATCATTTTTCTGAAACGTCCTGTATTTCATTGTTCATCTCCAGTCGCTTCCTTCCGAATGTCTCGATATTTCTTTTTTTCTGTGACGTCCATTACGTATTTGATTAATTAAAAAAGGAATAACGAACATTGAATCTGTATTACTGCTAATGTCTCATGCCATTCAAAGAGAAATCAGTTTGGTTCCATGATGTCATGACCGAGGCGAGAGTAGGGACGCTTAAAATGATGTCCAGTCGTGGCCGTTTTGAATGAGCGGCGCGGGCCGCGGTGATCAATTTTCTGCGCGTGTCCGCTGTCGCGACGAACCGGTTTTGGCGCGGGAAAAAAATCGCGCGAACCGCAGCGAGTCGGCGAAAAAAATACGGCGTGCAATTTCGGATTGCGTACTCAGCTGGTACCGAATCAGAAATCGCTTATGCGATCTCACGGTTACTCGACTCCAGTAGAATGTCGATCTAGGGTAACGCCGCGCGACGATGAAAATCTCCTACCCGCCTAGCCGTATTCGTGCGCCGTGACGAAACCGCGTAGGATTTTCCAGGAAAATGCTTCAGCGTTTAACATTTAATTAATATGACATTTATTAGAAACGGTATGTTCGTTCAGGAATAAAATATGTACTGTTCCATATTTATGAATTTACTATTTCATAAGACACTGCGAAATATACCTCGTCATAACTAATTTACATTTAATTAAGTTGTCAATTTTAAAAATCGAGGAATGTTGATTGGAAAATAAGAATTTTAGTTAATATTTATAATCTAGGAATTTTTATTTTCATAGAATGGCCCAGTAGAAAGAATCATAGAATGGCCCAGTAGAAAGAACCATTAAATGGCCCACTGGTCACTGGCCCAATGGCCATTTAATTAATATGACATTTATAAAAATGAGACAATGATCAATTGAGAAAAAATATTTACAATTTAGGAACTTTTATTTTTATAGAACGACCTAATAAAAAGTACCATTTTAAATGACCCACTAATTGGCCCTTATTAAACCTGTGACATTAAAACCGAAGGAATATTCACTGAGGAAAATCACTATACAAAAGCACAGTACAACAATAAAGAAAATTGTAGATTACAAATAGTGCCATTTTCTATATTTGCCATAATCGACGTATAATTAGTACAATTTATTAATATAAAAATAAAACGAATGTTAATATTCATGGCAATACAAGTCGACTATGAAGGCGATAATGATCGATTATGTTTGGCCATTGTGACGACATCTAATGACAATATAAATATTCGATGATCGTCCGCGTGCGCGATTTCTCTCGCATACTTTCGTAGCGGCGCTCGCGAGCGCACACAGCCCGTCCGTGGTAAACGATCGTTTTTAGATCTATGAATGCGCATTAGAAGTCGGCAGCCCGTTTTAATAGCAAGCCATTTTTCCTTATAAATCTCGAGATAGCTTTTACACGCGCCGGCACGAGAAACCGCGCGAGAGAACCTTTCCAATTTTTTTCCCCCTTTTTCCATTTTCTTTTTTTTTTTGTTGCGGGCCCGTTGCGAGTCACGCTCGTTTCATCTCTGGTCGTAACCGTGCCAGCCGAGACACACTTCTCCTCGCATCGTACGTGAAATGTATAATGCCCATCGGCTTACATCATTTGTAGTTATCAACTACTGGAACGTACGCCACGCGGTTTCCAAGCTACGATTCATCTACCCGCTTGCTAATTACCCGCGTTTTCCACACCACGTTTTCTGCCCATTTCTAGCAGTCGAAGACAACCAATTCTCTTCATCAATCGTCCATTTTATTTATAATCTCCTTCATCTCTTAAACTAACCTGACCTAATCGAATCAACGGTTGAAATTTGGCAGGGAAAATGGTCATTGGAACGACATGACGATTAAGGACGAGGTTAATTAATTAATTAATTAATTAATTACAGTGGTTGGTATCAAGTTTAGAATCGCTGGCGAAAACGGGAACAATGGCCGAGCGTGCCGCGTTTATTTTAATGGCCGCATTAACGGCTAGCTGGAGGTGCATTTTCCCCTTAATTATCGCGACGGTTGAGTGACTCCTGCGTGCGATTTTCACAACGCAGATGCCGTGGCTGCCTGCCGTGCCAATTACGGCACGCGTTACCTATTTCTAACGTATTCTGTTTATTATTACTTCAGATTCCATTCCACGGTTATTATGAAAGTTTAATGTCAGTATTACGGATTCTTTTACATCCAATTGCAACCTCTGAATGTTAAATAAATTAAAAGAAAGTCAATCGAAAGGAAAAACGATTAATAAATTAATAATTAATCGATAATTGTGAAAGGTGTCTTTTGAAACCTCCTGTAAAAATAGAATTCTCATTCCTGAATTCATTTCATTTCACTATCAATTCTCTATTTTTAATCCTGACATCAATTTACTTCGTACAACCACGTAAACTGCAAGCAATCAACTAATGGACCACCACTTTTGAATTACAGATGTTGGATCGGACCAGACGCCGGCGTCTTCGTTCTGGACGCCTACCATCAAGACCGGGAACGTCTTCACCGACGACAGTAACAACTTCTTTTCGTCTAGCCACGGCTTGGTTCAGACCCATCCGTCTGGGAACGTGTTCCGAAGCGGTTTCGGTGGGATCGATAATCTCGGCAGCCGAGGGACGACCGTCAGACCACCGAGGCTGAGACCGCTTGATTACAGCGAGCGCTCCACCGCCGAGCTACGCCGGAATCCCTCGCTATCCTCACCGGATGAGTGCGCCAGGGCTTGCCGCGAGAACGAACCGCCGAGGATATGCTACTATCACTTCACGCTTGAATATTACACCGTTCTCGGAGCGTGCGTATCCAATACCCACAGAAAAAACTATTCTAGCCATTAGTTAAACGCAATTTTCAATCATTAATGAGTCACATCTACGTAAAATACGATTCTCATTTGAAATGTTGTTAGGAATTTCAAAATCCACCAAGGCATGCTTCTTATAAAGCTTGAAAAAAATTAAATCCATGAAATCGCTTAGAAATTCCTTCTTTCGAGCTAGAATTTCTTCTTCCTTCACTCTGATATTTAATTCTTGCATTTTCTGAATTGTAGCGCGTGTCAAATCTGCACCCCGAACGCCACGAACGTCGTCTGGAGCGACTGTCAATGCGTGTTAGCGGACGGCGTGGAGCGAGGGATCCTGACAGCGAACAGAATGATACCTGGGCCGAGTATTCAAGTTTGCCAAGGGGACAAAGTGGTTATCGACGTGGAGAATCATATCGAGGGTATGGAAGTCAGTCTTCACTGGCACGGAATCTGGCAGAGAGGATCCCAATACTACGACGGTGTGCCATTCGTCACGCAATGTCCAATTCAAGAGGGCAGCACCTTCAGGTAACCATTATTCCTACTAATCAATCGATTTCTTCATTATTTTCAACAATATAATTAGAATAATTGAAATAATCTTCAGAATTATAATAAATATTTAAAGTATTTGTTTAAACATTGGAATATTTGATAAACGTAGATACCAGTGGCTAGCTGGGAACGAAGGGACCCATTTCTGGCACGCTCACACCGGACTGCAGAAGATGGACGGTCTTTATGGCAGCATCGTAGTGCGTCAACCACCCAGCAAAGACCCCAATAGCAATCTTTACGATTACGACCTGACCACTCATGTGATCCTCCTCAGCGATTGGTTCCACGAGAACGCCGCTGAACGATTCCCTGGTAGACTAGCTGTGAACATGGGACAGGCACCTGAGAGTGTGCTCATCAACGGAAAAGGACAATTCAGGGTGAGCATCCACAAATACCTTATTTCAGGTTTGAATTTGTGGACATACTAGCTTCTCTTGGCTGTAGGCATCCGGGGAGCTAGGCTTCCGGACGGGTTGCCTAAGTTAAGGCGCATGGACATAAGCCTAGACAGACAGACACACAAATGTCCTTTAGTCGTAGTGGATGTCCCTTTCAATTTTCATTATTCCTAAAAAATGCATTTACAATTGCAGGATCCTAACACTGGCTTCATGACGAACACGCCATTAGAAGTGTTCACAATTACCCCGGGGCGTCGTTATCGTTTCCGATTAATCAACTCGTTCGGGTCGGTCTGTCCGTCACAAATCACGTTCGAGGGTCATTCGCTGACAATAATCGCTACCGATGGAGAAGCGGTACAGCCGGTCTCTGTAGACACCATCATCTCGTTCTCTGGTAAAAGATCTGTCCGGCTATTATAATTTATAATCGTTTTAAATGGGGAAAGCGTGGCCGGTTTAATCGGCCGGATCGTAAACTCAAATGGCGAACCTAATGGGTTACAGGCGAGCGATACGACTTCGTAATAAACGCGGACCAACCGGTTGGCGCTTATTGGATCCAAGTTCGCGCGCTTGGCGAGTGTGGGACATCGAGGTCTCAGCAGCTGGGAATTCTGCGTTATGCTCGTGGACCTTATCAGCCTAGCACCACGACGCCTACTTATGATTTCGGCCTCCCACAGGGTGTCGTGAGTAAAATTAGTTAAATACGTTCTTTGTCACTCTTATAGTAATGCATTTCCCAAAATTTTCTATACGTTAGATTTAAAGAAAAAAAATATTGAAAATCGTACGTCAAAAAGTCTAATCGTCAGATCTGGCAAAATCTCAAAATTCACGAATTTTTTTTTCATATAAGGAATGGATGGAAAAATTTGAAAATATTCACACATGTTCTACTCATGTAATAGTACAACTCTGAATTTTTTCATCAAATTCCATACGCTGGAACCCGAGAAAAAAAATGGCGAAAATGTGGAAAATTCGTGTTTCAAGGGGTATCCCTTCAAAATTGGTCAAATTTTCAATGTTTGCAGATCTGATTGAAAATATTCTCACATAATCTACTCTTATTGTAATGTATTTGTGCAAAGTTTAAGGATTTCCTGTACAGTAGATTTCGAGAAAAAAAATGTGAAACATCGAATTCCACTTCTCATGCACTGACCCAATAGTTATGGCCCGATTCGCATATTTATTAGTCAGTCAGAATTGAATTGCGGAATCGTCTACAAGTATACTAACGACATCCGTCATTAAATCGTCTGATTACGTAGGTGCTGAATCCGCTGGACGCGATCTGCAACCGTCAACGAGTGGACGCTATCTGCGTGAGCCAATTGAAGAATGCCAAGACGATTGACCAAGGCCTGCTTCAGCAGCGCCCGGACGTGAAGATATTCCTGCCGTTCCGTTTCCTCTTCTACCGCCCAGAAGAAGTCTTCCAGCCGCAGACCTATAATCGATTCTTGGGTAAGCGTATTTCAAAACCGCGATTTCTCCGTCGGACCCTTTTTGCCCTCTCCTGGCGACCTGTCGCAACCGGTTCATTACCATCGAATCCATTAAATCGGAATTCGAGCCGGGAGATCGCGTTCGTCATTTACGTTTACGGTGTTCCAGTCGCGCCGACCGGAGATCACGTAATCTCGCTCGTCGACGAAATCTCGTTCACGTTTCCGCCGGCGCCTCCGCTCTCGCAAATCGACGACATCCCGCCGGAACAGTTTTGCAACGGCGACAACAGGCCCGCCGACTGTGGCGCCAACTGCATGTGCACCCATCAGGTAGACATCCCGCACAACGCCGTCGTCGAAGTGGTCCTCGTCGACGAAGGTACATTATCATTAAACATTCTATTAACATTAATAAACAATAATAATTATTGTATTAAATGTTTAATTAATTTATCGTAGTGCAACAACCGAACCTGTCGCATCCGTTCCATTTGCACGGCTACGCGTTCAACGTGATCGGTATCGGCCGTTCCCCGGACAAGAACGTGAAGAAGATCAATCTGAAGCACGCTCTAGAGCTCGATAAGAAGGGTCTCCTTAATCGGCAGTTCGATTTCCCACCAGCGAAGGACACCATCGCCGTACCTAACAACGGCTACGTCATCTTCCGGTTCCGTGCGGACAATCCCGGTAAGTGAAGTTAGGTACCTTAAGTATCAATAAATAATTCGTTTATTTATTTGCATTTGTTATTACAATTTGTTTTAGGCTACTGGTTGTTCCACTGTCACTTCCTGTTCCACATACTCATCGGTATGAACCTGATCCTCCACGTCGGGACACACGCGGACCTCCCGCCGATACCGCCGAACTTCCCCAGATGCGGTGACCACCTGCCACCCATCACGCCGCCATCGTTGCTCAGCAACTACCACTGATCCGTCCCAGAAGCGAAAAGCAGAAACAGAATCCAATAGTGGGTCCAAAGCATACAAGATGTGTCTAACGTAGCTTATTCCTGTAAAGTAGTCAGTACGCAAGAAGAGCATAGTACATTTTCCTCGGGAGGAAAAAATTAAGGAAAGGAGTTAGGAAGAAAAGAAGAAAATGTGTAGTCAATCCTGAGACAGACGAACAACCGTGCAGAGTTTCAATCAGAAAGCCAGCAGAGCTTTTGCAACAAACCGTTCCCAAGAGACTAGTATTATTATTATTATTATTATTAATATTATTATTATTATTATTATTATTCTAGATGATTCTTTTTTAATGCCACTGCGCGTGATCACTGTTGTTACATTTGTGATTGTTCTTCGAGTGATCATGCCCAGTGTGAGGAAAACCAGTCTGGGAACGCGTGTTACTAACACTTGTAACAACTGTGTAAATAATGTAGAAAATAATCGTTACCAATTTTTTTTTTTTACTGAGACATTAACAGAGTCAGGTCCACGAGGGACATACGAGCATCGGTTCAACAAATTTTTATATTATTCCATGTCCATGGGACGTAAAGTAAGAATTTAGGTCTGAGGACTCTAAATGTCCACTTATTGTAATAAAGACATCAGGACGAGTTCTAAAAAAGTTTTTGATTCCTTATTGGGAAATTATTGATCATTTAGCTGTTTTGTCAAATTGATGCTCGTGTGTCTGTAAAAAAAAAAGAAAGAATATGGGGAATCTGCGAGACAATGTCACTGTTTGAGACAGTGGATCAGGTCAGGTTGTTTAAGGAAACTCGATCCGGGTGATTGGCTTCTGGTGCGAAAGCGACGACGCTTCGCTGGGTCGAGTACAGGTTCCTAATGTGGCCTTAGTTAGGGAGGAGGTTTCGTGCTCGCCTAAATAGAGCACAAGGTTCATTCGTTCTTGTACTCGTTAGTATTTCAACTAGTACAAGTAGGGTGTTGGGAACGAGATCACGAGAGATCGTTTCCTAATCAAGGTAAATGAAATGAAAGATACAAGAAATTGGTAGATAATTAATATAAACAATTATTTCGGTATTTTCAATTTCATCCCTTAAGTTTTTTTATTTATTTAATATTCTTTTTTTACGAAATTGAGCGTTTAGAATAATTTTTATACTAAATCCTGTGAGTTTTGTCATTCATGTTTTATACCAATTGCACTGACAATGTAAATGACAGTGAATATCATCGCAAGAACCACCCCCGAATTTATAGTCGCCGATTTCCATGCATATAGTTTCTACGTTTATTCATGGTGCCTCCAACTTTTATATTCTACCACCCAATCGGAGAATACACGATTTCTTCTTTGAACTGCGCAAACTTATAACTACAACGCTTGGCGAGTGGTCGTGTCACGATCGCTCGCGCTCATGTAGATAGAATTATTTCCCCTTCGGTTCACTTAGCTGAATATACAATCGAACCATTAAAACATGAAATACTCGGTTGAGCAAATAAGTTATAGACGAGCTGACATTGAGTATCAGCTGTGCACAGGCATAGTAAATTTGAGGTAAATTAAATTGAGCCAAATTTGAGGTAAATTAAATTGAGCCAAATTTGAGTTAAATTAAATTGAGCCAAATTGAATTGAGATTAAATTGAGCTAAATTTGAGATAAATTAAATTGCCAATTGAGTCGCCTGCGAATCTGTCTAACTTATTTCTAACATAATTTTTATACGAACGATTTACACGGTGTACAGTCGCATGTAAGAAGGAGGGGGGGAGAGAGAAAAATTGTATTTCAATTAAGCGAATATATTTTTTTTCTACCATTACACTACGCATAATACTATATATAAAATCTAGTAAGTTTGTACTTAACCGGAAGACACGGTCGGAGCTTGTAATTAATATTTAACGTAACGAAGGAGATTCACCAGTCCGAGGGATGAGTTTTCGTGTTTTTTGTACAGGTAGCATTTAAGCGAGGAGCATATTCGCCCATTCGTTATCAGATAAAGATGTACATTTAATAATAAATTTGTTTTTAAAAAAAAAAGACAAAAAAAGAAACATGAGAAAAGAAATTTCACCCGATTCACTGCCCCCACTTTATTAAAGCACGAAGACGACACTGCTGGACTACTGTTTTCATTAGCGTTAACGAGCCCTGCTAAATGAACCTTCAAAACTAGCGGTACTTGGGCTAATTAAGCCTCGCATGAAAATAAGGTTTGACCCGGACACGTGATTTTTTTCTAGGCTCCTAATTAACATTCCAACGATAAGAAATTAATGTGCAATAAAAAAAGTCCTATTCAATTTATTTATCAATTTTTAATTGAAATAAAACAATAATCTTTTAATGTTGGCCTGTGAATTCCAACAGGACAGTAGAAACAAATGTTGCTTGCAGTTATGTTAATATTCAGGGTTGATCCTTAACATTCTTAGCAGGACGAGGTATGACAAAGAAACTTACGTGCGTGCCGGTTGTTTACGTGACGAGAGAGAGGTATTCATGAACGTGCGGCACGCAGCACGCCCGGCCCTGGCACCGTCAGGGTCGTCGATAATTTCATCTCGCGGACGCGTGCGGATTTAATTACAAAACTGCATCTTTAATATATTGAAAACACCCGGGTCTCGTAGTAAAACGGCTGAGTCACGCGACGTAGGTACGTTCGCTCCTAACGCTCCCTTAACGAGACGCTAATTACATATTTCCTTCTATGTTAAAAAGAAAAATTTGCAAACCCTACGAGACTCTCCTGCATTTTATAGTACATATTAATTTAATATACTGTAACGTTGTAAGAAATTTATAAAATAGTATCATCTTAAATATTGATAGAGCTTGCAGGCATACAACAATTTATTAAAAATTAGTAGAACTTGCAAGTATGCAACAATTTATTAAAAATTGCTAGGGCTTGCAGGCATACAACAATTTATTAAAAATTGCCAGAGCTTGCAGG